ACATCAGTTATTGACTTCTGTGCACCTACAGGCTCAACACCACATGGAAGTTGTCAAGGACTGGGGCTTGCCACCTCTAAACTATGGCCCAAGCTGTACCATGGCCTCTTACAAAAATGTCTGGAGTGGCTGGGGCTTGTAGCACCAAGTTCCTAGGCTACACACAGCAGGGGTCCTGGAGCCCAGCCCTCAAAACTAGTCCTTCCTCTTTAGGTCTCCTGGCTTGCAATGGGAGGGGTTGCTGCAGAGTTCTCTAACATGCTCTGGAGATATTTTCCCCATTATCTTGGCAATTAACATTTGGCTTCTCATTACCTATGGAAATTTCTGCAGTTGACTTTAATTTCTCCCCAGAATATAGGTTTTTTCTTTTTCACTGCATCATCAGGGTACAAATTTTTCAAGCTTTTAGGCTCTGCTTCTGTTTGAACACTTTGCCACTTAGAAATTTCTTCCACCAGATACTTAAATCATCTTTCTCAAGCTTACAGTTCCACAGATTTCTATGGTAGGGGCAAAATGTCACCCAAACCTTTGCATAGCAAGAGTGACCTTTACTCCAGTTCCCAACAAGTTCCTCATCTCCATCTGAGACTGCCTCAGCCTGGACTTTATCATCCATATCACTATCAGCAATTTGTTCAGAGTCTCTTGGAGGTTTCAAACTTTCCCACATTTTCCTGTTTTTTGAGGCCTCAAAGTCTCTAGGTTCTTCTGAGCCCTTCAAACAGTTCCAACCTCTGCCTGTTACCAAATTCCAAAGTTGCTTCCATATTTGTGGTTACCTTTACAGCAGTGCCCCCTTACGCAGTATCTTTTTACTCTAATAGTCCATTCTCATGTTGCTAATAAAGACATACCCAAGATTGAGTAATTTATAAAGGAAAGAGGTTTAATTGACTAGCAGTTCTGCAGGACTAGGAAGGCCTCAGGAAACTTACAGTTATAGCATGGGGGGAAGCAAACATGTCCTTTTTCACATGGCAGTCACAATAAATGCCAAGCAAAGGGAGAGAAAAGCCCCTTATAAAACTATCAAATCTCATGAGAACTCACTGTCATAAGAACAATTCGGACATAACTACCCCCATAATTCAATTACCTCAAACTAGATCTTGTCCACAACACTTGGAGATGATGGGAACTAAGATGAGATTTGAGTAGAGATACAACCAAACCATAACACTAAGTATGATCCAAATGCCCCAAATGATAATTTTTTTTGAATGGTAGAAGGATTTTTATTGCCAAAGCAATAAAACCCAAAGGTTTATACCCAATAATATGATTAACAGGCTGAATGGTAATATTGTTTTACATTCTCTCATATATCACCAGAGTGCTTTCTACAATGGCAGAACTAATTTACAATCCCACTAGTAATGTATAAGTAAATGTTCCCTTTTCTTCACCACATTGTCAGTATCTGTCATTATTTTACTTGTTAACAATAGCCATTCTAACTGGTGTGAAATGGTATCTCATTGTAATTTGATTTGTATTTCTCTACTAATTAGTGATGTTGAATCCTAAGTGAACCTATGGAACAGAAAATCAAATACCACATATTCTCCTTTTTAAGTGGGAGCTAAACCTTGAGTATACATGGAAAAAAAGAAAGGAACAAAAGACATTGGGTGGAGTGTCTACTTGTGGGTGGAGGGGAAGAGGAATGTGATGATACAAAGCTACCTGTAAGTGACTACGATTATTACCTGGGTGACAATAAGTCTGTACATGAAACCTGTGTAGTATGCAATTTACTTATTTAACAAAGAGCCACATGTACCCCTGAAACTAAGATAAATGTTAAAACATAGAAGATAAAGAAAAGGAACAAATAAAAAAATTTTTTTAAACTACATCACCAAAACTTAAGTGTAGTTCAACAACAAAATATAAATTAGAATAATTTATAAGTCAGACACAGACATAGGCAAATGTCCTATGCATATAAAAAGCTCTTAAAAATTAACAAAAACAACACCAAATGCTGGCAAGAATAGGACAACAGGAATTTTCTTTTATTATTGATGGTAATGTAATATGGTACAGCCATGTTAGAAGACAAAGTTAAAGTTTCTTACAAAGCTAAAGATAGATTTATTGTATGATTAAGCAAACATGCTCCCAGATATTTACCTAAATTAGTTGGAAACATGTCCACACAAAAACTGGCATTTGAATGTAAAAAAGTGGAAGTATTTAAGATGTCTTTCAATAGGTAAACAAATAACTGAACTGTGGTACATTCATACAAAACAGAGTATTAGTCATCAATATATTGGTCCAGTCTCATAATGCTATAAAGAACTACCTGAGACTGGGTAAATTATGAAGAAAACAGGATTAATTGATTCACAATTCAACAGGCTTTAGAGGAAGCATCCATCACTGGGAGGCTGCAGGAAACTTAACAATCATAGTGGAAGGCAAAGGGGAAACAAGACACGTCTTCTCAAGGCAACAGGAAAGAGAGACAGAGAGAGAGCAAAGGTGGAAGTACCACACACTTCTAAACCATCAGATCTCATACCTCGCTCAATATCTTGACACCAGAAAGGAGGAAATCCACCCCCATAATCCAATCACCTCCCACCGGGCCCCTCCTCCAATTCAACATGAGATTTGGGCAGAGACACAAATCCAAACCACATTAATCAATGTTTTTAAAAAATGAGCTATCAATTTACAAAAAAAAAAAAAAAAAAAAAAAAACTTAAATGTGTAAATTTTTTAAAGGACATCTACAAAAGCTTTGGGTTATAAAATTTTAACTGTATGACTTTGTAGAAAAGGCAAAACAATGGGTAGTGAAAAGAGCAGTTGTTTCTTGGGACTCAGTGGGGAGAAGTCAGGGATGAATAGGTCTGACACAACATTTTTTAGGCTAATGAGACTATTCTATATGATATTATAACATTGGATTTTAATATTATGCATTTGCAAGACCTATAGAAATTTACAACATTCTAAAGTGAACCCTAATGTAAAATACGAACTTAATAATGTATCAGTATTGTTTCATCATTTGGAAGAAATATGCTGTACTAATACAAGGGGTTAATGATGGTAGAAACTGAATATGTTGGTCAAGGATCCCTCCATACTTTCTGTACAGTTTTTCAGTAAAACTAAAATTTCTATAAAGTATAAGAACAATTAAAGAAATAAACATTTTCCAAAAAAAGTCACTAGAGGTTATGAAACATATCAAAAGCTGAATATCACTTTTTCATTCTTTGACAGTTACAGAATTGCAATTAAAAGTCACCTAGATTGTCAACAAATATATTGATTGCAGATTGTGTTGGCAAAGTAAATGACTCTGAACCAGTGGCAGTACTTGTAAGAATTTATCCTGTAGCTAGCTATATTCCAAAAATACTCAATAAGGTATCAGTTAAATAAATAATGATACATGCAAGTAAATGAATATTCTGAGTTCTTAAAAAAAGAAGAAAAAAGATGTTTATATTCTAATATGAACACTATTCATGATATATTTTTATGTAAAAAAAAAAAAAGGAAAGCCTGAAGAATATGTAGAGGATGCTGTTATTTATGTAAAGTGGAGAATGTTTCTTAGTTAAGGTTAAATCCTTGGAGAAAACTCCCTCAGCCAAATTTATTAAATGAACTTTCTCCTACTTGTTGTGTAAATTCACCATCGGACATTCCCAACAAGTAATGTTCCAGCTTTTTGTGGAATTCTAGTAAAGCAGCAGTCACTACCCCACATTCTCCTAACTTTAAGTCCTTATTATACAAAATGTCTTCCTAAATGGTAGACTTTATGAATAACAGTATGGAAAGAAATAAAAAAGCAACATTTACTAAAGTTACATTAATGACATTATTTTTAAAAAGTATGGTCCTGGCATGGTGGCTCAAGCCTGTAATCCCAGCACTTTGGGAGGCCGAGGCGGGTGGATCACGAGGTCAAGAGATCGAGACCAACCTGGTCAACATGGTGAAACCCCGTCTCTACTAAAAAGACAAAAAATTAGCTGGGCATGGTGGCGCGTGCCTGTAATCCCAGCTACTCAGGAGGCTGAGGCAGGAGAATTGCCTGAACCCAGGAGGCAGAGTTTGCGGTGAGCCGAGATCGCACCATTGCACTCCAGCCTGGGTAACAAGAGCCAAACTCCGTCTCAAAAATAATAATAATAATAATAATAATAAGTGTTTGTTTACTGCTCCCTTGTCTACTGCCCCTGTTCCTTCAGATGATGAGGGGATTCATCACTACTGTAGTTAGCCAAAAAGTGACATCACAAGTGTATTATATGAAGCATTATCAGTCTGTTTCTTCAGAAAATCTGGAAAGTGAGAATGAAAGTGAGACCTCTCACTAATATTATAAAGTGGTGAGGGTCTCAAAGACGGGGGTGAAGAGGGAGATCAGGCATCTCAGATCAACTTCCGAAGCCCTTTTCATATGTAATTCCTAAGACTGTAAACTGAAACCCTTTTCACATGTAATTCCTAAGACTGTAAACTGAGACCCTTTTCATATGTTAAGCTATAAACCTAAGATTCTTCCACGTGTATCATCTAAAGTATAAGCCTATATAAAGAAGGAACCTTCCTTTGTTAGGCGAGCTTGGATATTAGGCAAATATGCCACCTGGCTCCCACCCAAATAAACTTCTTCCTCCAATATTCGGTGTCCAAGAGATCTGTTTCCCACGGCCGCTCCTGCTACAGTTACAGAACTGAGGGAATGTGTCCTCTTACCAGGTCCACAGTGGGGCATAGTTTTAAGGGCAAGAACTTCCCAGCCCCATGCCCACTTCCCATGCCTCTCCATCTGGGAGAGTTAATGATTTCTGTTTAATTTTCACACATGTGGGAGGAATAAAAAAGTCAATCACTCCAGAGGAAGTTTGAGGGAACTCTTTTAATTGGCCAGGGGGCTTGGAGGAGGTGGGACTTCCTCCCAGGTTAAAAGTCCCGGTCTTCCACACTCTTTCGGATTCCATATTTGGGTCCCCTTCCACACCCTTCATGGAATCCTTTTTCTCTCATCTTTTTCTTTCTCCTTTTACTCTGTGTGGTCCCCCTCCCACTCTTGGGAGAGTGAGAGACCAAAAGCCTGGAGCCCACTGGGGAGCCAGCTGAGCACTCCCCTGCACCCTAAAAACCCGGCAACGTTACTGGTGAGCAAGCAAACGTTACTGGGGTACAGCCAGGAGAAGAAGACATCAAACTGGACATCAAACTGTAAGTAAAACCGGCCCCATTCTGTACTGTGTCTTTAAGAACACCAGAGCAGCACCGAGCCACAGGGGCACAGCCCAGCCCATCTTTAAGCAGCCCAGGCCAGCCAGAATTAAAGGCAGTCTTTTCCTCCAAGCTCGCTCTCTGCTTTTCCTCTCTCTTTCTCTCTCTCTCTAGGCTGCTTCTCTGGGCAAAAGTCTACAAGAGGTGGGGCAGGCAGATGCTATCTGCAGTTACTGGATGTGCACTGGTGGGCCGAGGCTGCTGGGCTTGCCCAGGGGGTCAGTGGGCGAGCACTCCCCCTGGACCTTTCACTCCATGCCAGCTGGGAACTGGGACCAGGCCGCACAGAGGCCTGGCATAGCCCAGCAGGCCTCTCCTGCGTTCTCCAGTCAGAGACAGCAGTGAAGAAAAGGGGGCCTAAGTGCACCCATGGTCCCGGCATCATGGCAGAACAGAACGCTGCAAAGGACGGGGCAAGCCTTTCCCTCCCAGCACATAGCAGTGTTTAAAAAGTCTCCTGAATGGTTTTAGCTGCACAGCAGCCCAGCTTTTAAAATCACAATGGCAAGCAGTTTTTGGTTTTTTTTGTCCCGGTCCCCCAGCTGAAATAAAGAAAACAGCTGCTGGCTATCAGCTCTGCCCGGCTTTCCAAAAGCCATACTGCTTCAGGGTGCAGCATTCTCATTTAGATAAGGTTTAAGAAAGCTTTCCACCTGGCCTTAATGCAAGTGGCCTGTTAGCACGGTTGGTTAAGGCATAGGGCTGGCAGCTGTGAAGTGACTGGTTAAAATCCTCAGTGAAGTCAGTCTTGAATTGGGGAAACTTGGGGGAAATTCAGAAGCTGAAGGCTATGGGACTTTGTTTAGTGTTTAATTTGTCTTGCTTAGTATTGGCTTTCTCTAGACAGAAGTTTTCCATCCAGAAGATCATAGTTAAACCTGTTCCAGGACCCAAATAGTTAATGGCAGGACTCAGAACCCTAAGGGCATTTACCTGCAGTGGAAAATGAGTTAGGGAAGGATACCTGAGTCCTGTGGATATTGTTCTGGCCTCACCCACGCAGCCTGCCTTCTTTACACTGTGGGCTCTAATGGCTTCTCCCTAGAAGTTTACCCTTCTGGGGCAGTTTTATAATTTGGCCTGTGTAAAAGAATTGGGACCAGTTTGGCACAGAATCTTTGAAGAAGCAGCAGCTCATCTTCCTCTGTCAAACAGCATGGCTAAATTAACCCCTGCTAAGTGGAAAATCCTGGTCTCTAGTATTATAAATTATAATACTCTTTTTAAAATTAGAACTGTATTGTAAAAGTGAGATTAAATGGTTTGAGGTCCCCTGTGTGCAACTTTTCTTTTCCCTAAGAATAAGCCTCGGTTCTGTCAGGCCTGTACCCCATACCCTATTCAGTACTCCTCAGTGGGACTCCTTGTGGCAACTACCTCCACCAATGCCAACCAGGGCTCCTCTGTACCCCAGCAGGAGCCAGGGAGGGACAAAATGGCCAGGGCATCTCAGGCTACCCAGATGCCCCAACTCTGCCCCCTACAGGTAGTAGGAAGAGAAGTTGGCCTGACCGAAATAACTCTCAAACTCCAATTATCCTTTTCATAGTGGGAAGAAAACCTGTCTCTTCCTAGGAAAATTCTGCCATTTTGTAAACCACTGTTGTTTTGAACATAGAACTCAGGAATCAATCAAACACAGTACTAAAAATCTTCTAGAAACAGTATTGTAAAGCTTGTTTAACAACGGACTCTCCTGGCTCTATTCTCTCCCAGTCTCCTTTATAACCATTCAATAATTGTCGGCCTCTGGGCCTCTCATCTCTAACCACCTTTTCACATTCATTTCTTCTAAAACCATAAGGTCACAAATAATCCTGCCACTGAAACCCAAATGTCCTTGGCTCATGAGTTCTATTGTGGACCTCAGGATCAACCTGCACCCCTAAAAGGCTCCCCTCTGGAGGAAACCTTAACTGCAGTGCCCCTTTTATGCCCCATTTCAAGCAGGAAGTAAAGAGCATTCAATGCCAGTGTTCCAACAGAAGTTGAACTTTCCTGTTCAGAGGGGTAATGAGGGAATGTGTTCTCTTTTGGGTCCACAAGGGGGCATAGTTTTAAGGGCAAGAACTTCCCAGCACCATGCCCCCCTCCTATGCCTCTTCATCCGGGAGAGTTAACAGTTTCTGTTTAATTTGCATGCACATAGGAAGAATGCAAAAGTCAATCACTTGGGTAGAAGTTTAAGGGAACTCTTCATTGGCTAGGGGCTTGAATAAGGTGGGAATTCCTCCCAGGTTAAAATTCTCCTTCTTCCACACCCTTTGGATTCCGTACTTGAGGCCCCTTCCACGCCCTTCATGGAATCCTTTTTCTCATTTTTTTTCTCTCTCTTGTTTTTCTCTCTCCTTTTTCTCTTTCTCTGCCTAAATAAATCACTTTCTGCAAACACTTTTGGGGGTTTAGTATTTACCTTATGAGCGGTCCCCTTTCCCATTCTTGGGAGAGTAAGAGACTAAAAGCCTGGAGCCCACTGGGGAGCAAGCTGAGTTCTCCCCTGCACCACAAAAACCTGGCAACATTACTATTTGGATTAGGTTTTTTTTGTTTTTTTGGTGCTTTTGTTCATAGTTTGAATTTGTGTTTGTTTCTTAATTATACCTATCTTCTTGAAATAATAGGTTTTCAAAAACAAACAGTACCAAATAAATCTGTATATTTATTGAGTCCCCAGACTAACATAAATATGTATGTATATGCTTATCCAAGATAATTCATTTCCCAAATTATATTACGTATTTTGAAGTAGTAGCATAGGAAGCATCAGGCTAGTTATGTACAATTGATTGGTGACAATGACAAATTATCTCAACAGAGTATATCATACAATATTAGACTAAAATACAGATACATCTATATAAAAGTAAAAATAATTTATATACTATTTGAAATTTGTATATTTGCCTTTAAAGATTCCAGTCTTTTCCTTCTTGACCTCTGCATTTGTTTCTCTATGTTGCCATTTTTTAATGATATCGGCATTATCCTTTATTCCTTTCTTTGGAAGTGTTTTGGGGGGAAAAAAGGGAATGGAAGTAATCATATTCCTGCAGAAATCAGAAAGCCAAACCACAATGAATCAACCCAAAGAATTTTTCCAGCTCAAAAAGATTTAAGAGTCTGCTCATTTCAAAATGGTTACCTTTATGTTATGTTAATTCACCCAAGCTAAAAATATATGTAACAGCAGGGGTTGAGGGAGAGTCCACTGCAGTTACTGCCAAAAAAAAAATAGTCATACTGAACACATAATTATGTAGTCATGTATTTACTAACTGAATATCGACCATATCTTATTTATCTTGGTACATATAAAGATTATCACAGTTACTCTCATGTATTATATACCCTAGTATTTATTGAATAAAGAATACACATTATAATGATGTGTTTACTGTAGGAGAGTACTTCCATAATTTTAAATATGACAAGGTATTTGAAAGGACAAAAAAGAAAAACTGGAAAAGACTACTTCAAAATTTGTGTGTAAAACACTAAGAGCCCAACCAACTAAATACATCTCTGCTGTTAGCCAAGGGGATTTCAAAGAAATGTAAAAAAAAAAAAAAAAAAAAAAAAAAAAAAAAAAAAAAAAATTATAATTATAAAAATAATAATTCAAGCCATGGTGGGAAGGGGATCAGACATGTCTTATAATATTCTCCTCCCTTTTGGAATTCAGGCATAACTGACCAGCATTAACTTTAATAATCTTAAGACTAATCAGACTGACCCTTATAGCAATAAGATATCAAATTCCAACCTAATTCTAGTATAGCATCACATGGCAGATAGACCCTGAAAGAAAAAATTAAAGTATTTTATCAAAAATAAATTTTTGGGGGGCAAATTTTTAAAGGATCCTGCAAAGCTGTCTCTTGCAGGGAAAAATTTACATTCTCTATGGAATCCCCTTTATTTTCCAAGTGTTTTTCTTACTGTGAAGAGATTAGCTGAGAGTAGCACCTTTTAAGGGTCTGAATAGAAAACACATGCCATATTGCTTTAAGGGTGTCCACATATGGGACTTCATCTACATAAGAAGAACCTTGGTCTCTATTAAAGGAGTGTCTGGGCTAAGATAAGGGGTTGTAGAGACCCGGGTCTTTCAATGATAATTTAACTCTTTCAACAAATGGCCCATTAAAAATTGAATCTACTTTTGACCCATCAACTCTTCTGGTTCAAGTTGTCCTGCCTCTCCAGACCGACCCTATAGATACCTTGCATGTACTGATTGATGTCTTATGTTTCCCTAAAACATATAGAGCCAAGTTGTAATGCAACCATTTGGGGTATTATATCATTTCCTTAGCATTAGAAGGGTCAGAAGCTAGTAGGTTGTTTCCTCAGGCTACAGGACACTGGAAGAAGAATCACTATTGTGTGGGATTTTAAGGCACTGTCTCTAGTAAGAGTAAAGGGAGCAGAAAGACAAAGTACTATGTCAATAGAAAGGGAATAGAGTAATTCCAAATTATAGCATATCTGCCTGCTTTCTCTACTATAGAATATTATTTACAGAACACGAATCTTTTGAACTTTGTTTCTATCTCAATTTCCTATTTATATACTCACATATACCAAATCATCAGCATAAATTCAGCTTCTGAAGGTGTTTTCCTCTTTGGAATTAGTTCTACAGTAATTCTTGGTTAGAAGTCTTTGACTCATTTTTAAATAAGCATTTTAAGAAACAGAGAAGAAACTCTTAATAGATTCAAATATAAGAGAAATGACATTCTTTACTATTAGCCATTTCTATTCCATTTCTTATTCCCTTTTTTGACTTCTTCCAAAGTTCCTGATGAGAAAACATATCTTTTTTCATTTATTTTACACATTTAACCAAACCCAATATCTTATTCAAATTCCCTCAGCAGAAATTATTCAGTTACAAGTTCACTGAACAGATATCAATAAAATGAAGTAGACAATCT